ATTCCCATTTCCAGCGAGGAGGAGTTGTTATTATGGCAGATATCAGTGACAATTTAGATAGCTCTTGACTTGATCAGATGGGAGTAGTCCCGGGGAGTGAGATAGCTCAGTGTGTGCTAAACTTGATGTTTTCTTTAGAGGTCGGTTGATTACAGGAAAACCTTTAGCTATGTCAAAACAAAACAAAGCAAAACAAAAGATCCCCAGCCCACCTCCCCTCTGTGTTCATGAGCTTGGCACTAGGACAAGGCTGAAATCTGAAAGCTGGCCAGGAGCTGTGTTGTTTTGTTGGTTTTTTTTTGTTTTGTTTTTTTTTTTTAAATTCAGTTTTGCTGAAATGTTTTGGTTCTTCTTGAATAAAAAAAAAAAAAATAAACTTTTTCTTCCCAAGCTCCTAATAAAACTGCTGGAGCTCAGAAAGAAACAATACAGATGACATGGTTTCATCATCATCTTAAAAGCGTTCATGTGTTGAGGGGAAAAGCCACACCCAAAATTTTCTGCCACTTCCAAGCGATGGGAGATGTGAGTCCTCCTGCCACAGCTTGGGACAACCAAACATGGGGCCCTTACTGATAAATTTGGGTGTTTCCATGGTGTGAATATTCCACACCCACCTTCATCTGGACCTCCTTGGTTTCAGCAGCTTTTAATTTTGGGGGGTTATTGCTCTGGTGTCCCATCCTCCAGGATTTGAGGGTTGGTTTAGATGAGATATTAGGAAGAAGTTCTTCACTGTGAGGGTGGTCAGACACTGGAACAGGTTGCCCAAGGGAAGTTGTAGATGCCCCCTCCCTGGAAGTGTTCTCAGCCAGGCTGGATGAGGCTTTGAGCAACCTGGTCTAGTGGAAGGTGTCCCTGCTGCTGGCAGGGGGGTTGGAACTGGATGAGCTTTAAGGTCCCTTCCAACCCAAACCAGTCTGGGATTCTGTGATTCTATGATTTCTGTACGGATGCAGCATTTTCTGCAGCATCCCTCCCCGGAGCAGGATGATGCTCAGAGCCCATGTGCAGCGTGTGCACACCCAGAGCTAGAGATATCCTGGCTGTGGCCTTTTATTGGGCAATTTTGGGCAGGAATTGATGTTTGTGAAGGTCAAGGCGGGTGGTGGGAAACCTCACAGCCTCTTGTGCTGGTTGGTGTGTTGGGAAGTAGCCTGGATGATGCTTTTGTGGAGGACACTCCTTCCTTCCTCTCCAAGGGATGTGCTTGTAAAAGTCTGGGTAGCCTTTCAGGGGGGGTGTAAAAAATATGGAAAAAAATTAGTTTTTCAGTGACAATGTGATGTTGAATAATGTGGTTTGTGCAGAGGCATTGCCCATCATCCTCATCATCCACACCATACTTCCAAAAAAATGCTAACAAAGACTTGGGGGTGTCAAACTGTTGCCTTTAATTTCTCCCCTTCATGCAGAAATGTGCTCTGCTTCGGATGACCCAACTATAACTGACCAATACTCTAAATTCCTGAGGGCAGACTTGCTTTATTTTCAGTTATTTATATAATTTTTTTTAATTTTTCCCAACAATAAGCTTGCACAATGCGCTGGGGGGGAGCCTGACCGAGCCCCTGGGCAGGCTGTAATGCAAACCATGGAAAATAATAATAATAAACCAATGATAGCAGCAAATGGAGGGATGTTTAATAACGAAATAATAGCGCGGATGTTTATAGCATTAAACATTATCATTGTTTGCTGGAATATGGGAATGCTCCCAGTTTGCTGGGAGTTTTCCAGGCGTTTAGAAAGGGATGTGTTTGCTCCAAGGAGCTCGTAAAAATGATGTTTTTAACTCAAAGCAGGAATCCCAAAGTGTTTCTCAGACATTTCTCTGGTCTGTCACCCATGAGGACATGTGGAGGGTGATGTGGCTACAAATTTCCTGGGATCTGAGGTTTTGTGTGAGTTAGCAGAGATGGGAGTTGGATGATGGGTCTGGATCAATCCAGCGGGGTGTTTTGGGGTGAAATCCATCTATTTGTTAAATTTGCCCAGACTTACGGTCATTGCCTCCAAAAAAAAGCCTTTTTGTGGAAAAAAAAAAACAAAACAAAACCTCAGTGAGTGTAGGAAGCATCTTTACGTCATTTTTTCCTCCTCTCCTGCAACCTCCTCTCCTGCCTCCGCTGCCTGGGTGATGCCACCAGCTTTTCCCACCCCTTTTCCTGGCAGATGCCAGAATCAGGGAGGCGGGTGGGAGCTGGGATTGCTGCGCTGGGGTCCCAACAACCATGAAAAGTGGCTTTGGTGGTGTCTGGCAGGGAGGCCTGATCCTGTTTATCCAAGCTCAGGCCTTATATTCTCATGGCTTTTTGACTAGACATCCAGTCAACAGCCATATCCCGCAAACGGAAGAGGCTCTGGCATATTTATACTGTGTGCTGGCATTGGCTCCTTAAAAAAAATAATAAAATAAAATAAAAAAAATCCTGGATTACCTAAGACTTGTCCTTGAGGTCTGGTCAGCCCATGTCATTGAAAAACCTAGTGGGATTCATTCATGAACTTCCAGCTCTCCATAAAGGTCTGTTCATTCATAGCCAAGGCAGTTTTCTATTTTTTTTTTTAAATGCACTGGCAATTAAATAACCCTTTGTAAGTGTCAGTGAGCTACTTATTAAGTGGTCTTCACTAATGCAAGCACAAATACCAGGTGAAAAAGTCTTTCTCCCCTGCCCCCCAACCCCGTCTCCTCCTGAAAGGGATGCTTTTATGTTCAGCTAAATAAAAACCTGTTGGAATTTCAGTGGGGTTCAATCACTGTTGCTCCAAAATTCCCTCAATTGTTGTAAAACAGAAACTAAGAAGCTCTGAGCATCACTGGCAGGCAGTTCGGGGGTGGTGTGGTGGAGGGAGGTGATGGGTGGTCTAGATGGGGGATGGATCCAGGAGCATCATCATCCCCCCCCCCAGATTCCTGCATTTCTCAGGCATCTCTCCCCAAATTCCTCTTATCTCCCAGGTGAGTGGGGGAAACACCATCCTGAGGGTGTTTCTTGCCCCTCTGGGTGCATCTTTGAGTGGGGGGCACCCCATTTGGGGTTGGGGGGACGTGACCCCAGCCGCCTACCCCGTCCCC